AGAGAGAGAGAGAGAGAGAGAGAGAGAGAGAGAGAGAGAGAGAGAGAGAGAGATCCTGTGAGGCAGAGGAGACTAGTACAGGAACAAAGCAAGTCTCTGTGATTTAGATGAGAAATTTTCCTTGAAGTCTACTGGAGGCACTACTGAAAAGCCAAGCCAAGCCTGGGGGTTGAACTGAGCTGTCTAGGAGAGCTACAGGACCATGACAGTCATAGAGACAAAGGGGAGGGCCAAGGTGACGACTCCAGAGCAGATGGAGTATTCCTGGGTTCTTTATATGCACATTGGGTGATCAGATGGCAGACCAGTGATGGCTGTCACTATCACAGTGATTGTCATCTTCATGAAGTCCAGGTGAGGGTGTTACACATTTTCCTTCATCTAGTGGACTTTGTAAGCCCTCAGGCCTGGTTTTTTAGATGTGATTTTAATATACCATTATGTTCATATGGCACAGATTCACTTTGGCCAACTAATAGGATGGCACTCTTCTTACTTTTAGTAATAAGTTATCATTGCCTTGTGGATGGTGCAGGACATATGGCATTATTTGTGTGCTTCCCGAGAGGCAGTCATTCTGTCTAGATTTGTACTCAGATGGAGCGAAATGCTGCAAATAGAGTCGCCCAGGGCAAGACACAGCCTGGAAAGCCACTATTTTATACAATATGAAATGACTTAGAGCAGGATATAGCCTGATCTCAGTGTTCTAAATAATTTCTGAGAGCTTCAGGATTTCAAGGAAAAGGCACACCTCTTGAGAGGTCCTGCCTGGATGTATCTCTGTCATTCTTGTTACTCTGGATGACAAAGACCTCAGATTTCAGGCATGATGAAATGTGTTAGCTGTGTAGCAAGGACTGCTATCTAGGAAGGGCTGGCCCCCTTATTTCTGAGCATGTAAGATTAAAGTAAGTGTGTGTGTGTGTGTGTGTGTGTGTGTGTGTGTGTGTGTGTGTGCTCATCCTTCGGTTGCCTTTCTGTTGTAGGAGGCTGCTTATTCGTCCCTGCTGTCCAGAACTGAAATAACCACACAGAAACTGTATTAATGAAATCACTGCTTGGTCCATTAGCTCTAACTTCTTATTGGCTAACTCTTACATCTTAATTTAACCCATTTCTAGTAATCTGTGTATCACCACGTGGCTGTAGCTTACCAACAAGATTCTGACCAGTGTCTGTCTCTGCTGGGGCTATATGACCTCTCTCTGACTCTGTCCTTCTGTCTTCCAGCATTCAGTTTAGTTTTCCCTGCCTAGCTCTGTTCTACCCTATCAGGCCAAGTCAGTTTCTTTATTAACCAATGGTATTCACAGCATTCAGAGGGGTATCCCATATCACCTCCTCCTTTTTGTTTAAGTAAAAAGGAAGGCTTTATCTTTAACATAGTAAAATTACATATAACAAAACAGGTATCAAGCAAGAATTACAGTTACAACATTCATATCTACTTTATCTTTTATCATATCTAAGGAAAACTAACTATAGCTATCTATTCTTTGACTCCATCAAAGATTTCCAAAGGATATAATATTACCTAAGTAAACAGGAAGTGCATTGTAAACAACTTCCAAAACTCTATAATTGACAGAGACTTCTTGCTGCCTGTACAGTCACCCAAAGTTCTTCTGTACCATTGGGGCATTCATCTTCAGCCTACAGGCCCATAGTATCCAGCATACTTTTCCATGGAGCAGGAAATTTCAAAGACAGTTCTACCTATATTGACAGTTTGTCAGTCACTTTCTTCTGTGTCCTGCAGAATGTCTGGCAGACTCTTTCATGAAGCAAGAACCCCAAAGGACTGTCTTATCATTAGGCAAGTTTAGCAGTCATTTATCTGTGGGTCCTGCATATCCAGTTTATACAGCATAGCATCAAGCAGTCCAGGCAAGTGCAGTTTCTTGCCCAAATGGCTAACAAACTCCATAAGGAGCCTCTTCAATGCCCATCTTCTTCTTGAAACAGATTAGTGCTGCTAGGAGCAGATGTATCTCACTTTAATGAAAAGTCCTAAGATCTTAAAACATTTTAAATGCCATATTCTGTTAGTCTTTGAGAGGTTTGAAGAATAGCTATCCATCTGAAATACATCACTGTACATCTAGAAAATCTAACATGAGTACAAGCTTGACTATTATAGATGATTATCTATTAACCTGTATTTCTTAATTATAAATTACATTTTAAATGAGCTGCACAAACACAATGCCTTAATCAAGAGCAGAAATATACATATAACAAAATTGACCTAAAATTTATATCAATAAACCAAGATCCATACCAATGCAAATCTCTATATCATATCCCTCTTTAAATGTAAACAAACATTTATAAACAATATTTGGAAATATGTACATAGTTCTCTCCAAACAGCTTCCTTCTGTTTATTGGGTGAAGTAATTTTTGAGGGGTGTTCAAGGTGACTTTTCAGGGGCTCTTGGTCCATCAAACCACATTAGTCTAAAAGGATTCCACAGGTTCTCATCCTCTGTGGGAACAAAAGAACCTCTTTTCTAAAGCAACATATCCTTAGACCCAAATTTTGAAGACAAAATACTTTTAAAGTATATATGTTGGTTACTTAGCTCCTTCAAAATCAAAAAATTCAAAGAAAACACAATAATATACATAATCCAGACTCTTTGTTTTTTACAAAAAAACAAAAGATGGCTTTTACATGGCTTTTTTTTTACTCTATTACTTTTAAATATTTATTTTATTATTTTTACTTCTTTAATCTATGACTGTCTGTACTCCGTCTCTTTAAAGACTTTGTTTTATTTTTAACAAACCATTTACTTCTTTTTATAACTCTCTATACTCTTTTTCTTTTGCTCCCAAGCCTACATACATTTTTTAAAACACATTGTGTCTCATTTAGAGGTCTTTTATGTCTGAATTTGTCCTACTGTGTATCTGTAATCCTTTTCTGTCATAGAGAGCTTTTAAAATGTTAAGCAGCTTGGGCACAGCAGCTGGCTCTGCCTCTTTCTGCTTTTCAAAATGGCTGAAGTACCATTACCACCAGCTCTGGGACTTTCAGATAGGAGCCACACTCACCACTTTAACTCTGAGAAGGAGCATGCAGCACATAAACCCTTTTTATCTGAGCAATAACTAAATCTGCCATGCAACACAATGTGTAGTCTGGAAGTATCTCTGTGTATGGTGGCAGGAATCTGCCATGTTCTCCTTCCTGTGCAGCCTAGTAGACCTGATCTCACTGCCTGCCCAGGCAGGAAGTACTGAACCGTGGTCATGATCTCAGCTACTTCCTTCCCAACCCTGAGAGGGTATACAAGCACACAGATCCACAAAAGCCATTCAAATACTCAGCCTCCTGAAAGAGCCAGAGTTCACGCAAGATGCCATCATTTGAAACCCCATGTTTTTTTTCTGCTACCACTGAATCAGGAAGACCTCTCTTAAAGGAGCTGCGACATACTACAAGCAAAATGCTGGCTACCAAGAAGCCATGCTTAACTCTGTTCTTTTGTGTCTAGAATTCCCTTTTAAGCTCTCTCAGGCTTTAAGTGGATTTAGTCAACCATGTTGGCACACTTAATGTTTTTGAGACAGGACCTCTCTTTGAACCCGGAACTCATTTATTTAGCTAGCTTGCCTGATCGGCAAGCTACAGAAATCCTTCCTTCTCTACCTTCCCAGTGCTGGGGTTAAAGACACATGGATGCTGTTAGAGGTTCTTGTGTGGATGCTAGGGATCAGACTCAGGTCCTTGTGCTCGTGCAGTCAGGGCTCTATTGAGCAAGCTATTTCCCCAACCCTTAGTTGTTTTAAGCATCCATAGACTCAAAATTCTTATCCATGGCATCAGCCCATCCATCCCTTGAACCTCAACTTTCCTCTCATTGCAGGTTGTTTGATACATGGAGTGCACAAAGAAGCTGCAAAAGACTAGAAAATAATCATTTAGACCCCAGAGTCTAGAGCCCCTGCTTATTTTTGTGGAGGATTTTTACAGACGGGGAATATTTTCTATCTTTTTGCACAATAAACATTTTATCAGTATGTACTCCACAGCCTACTTACCTTATGTTTAGCTAAAAGTAATTGAGATCATTTCTGCATAGCATGCAAACTATCTTTGTAATTGGAATGCAGTTCTGCCTTTGATCACTATAATGAAGCCGGTTTGCATTTTATTTTCCCGCCCTGACTTATCTAGCTTTATTCTCGTATCATGGATTTGGACTCAGTCCTCCTTTTATATTTTGAGGCACTCCCATTTGCCTAAAAATAGTCCTGAAGGCTGCCTCCTGGAGCGCAGCTACAACAAATTGCTTTGTTGGGAAACAGAGGGCAAAATTCTGTTTTCAGTCAAAGCTTTGTTTCCCATTTAATGCGTTTGGTGAAGATAAAGATCTTAGTGCACTCTGGGCTATGGTGGCACACGCCTTTAATCCAAGCACTCGAGAGGCAGAGGAGGCAGGTAAATCTCTGTGAGTTTGAGGTCAACCTGATCTACAGAGTGAGTTCTAGAGACAGGCTCCAAAGATACACAGAAAAACCCTGTCTGGGGAGGAGAGCAGCAGGGAGATCTTAGCGCCTGATTTCCAAGATCTGACTGTGAGCATATGCATTCTCTTCCTTTAAAAATAGAGTTTCTCCAGGATTCAGCCACAGAGCACACTCCATTTGCTAACTTTATTTCTTTCTCCTTGAGTCGTCCAAGGCTTCTTCCTCACTTGCCATAATCATCTGGCCAGCTAGTCAACCTCCAATCCTAGACGCTTAGCTCAGTCAAGTAGTTCAGGGGCTACAAGAGGCCAAGTCTTGTTAAAATGATTGTTTTCCTGCAGTTACACTAGAAGCAAAAATAAATGCTGTGATGTGGTTTCTTACTGGGTAAAGGCTTGAGAGTTTACATGGAGAATTCTGAACAAGGGCAGCCTCTTAGAGAATTCAAGAAAAGCTGCAGGCACAGCTAGCAAAAGGCCACTAGGACCTGTTGTGTTCCTCTGCAATCAGAATAACCCAATAGGTATTAGAACTGGAGAAAGCAGAGCAGAGCCATAAGTGTGGCTGTCTCTGCCCTCATTTCAGCACTCAGGAGGAGGCCTTGTGATAGAGCTGAAAGTGACTATCAGGTGCCTCCTTTGCAAATGACGTTAGTTCACTAACTTCCAAGGAGGGTGGTGAAGAAATCCAAAGAGACAATCAACCAGCTCTGTTGCCCCAAGTCACATGTGGTCCTTTGACTCTTATGCTCTGACTCTTGGAGTAAAAGTCAACTGAAGCTTCCTAGCCTCCCATCTTCTCGTTCCTCTGTACACTTTTACTTTCATCTCTTTTGTTTTTAGCTAAGCAAGCCTCTTTTTGCACAGAAAAAA